AAGAGTGAGACTCTGTCTCAAAAAAAAAAAGCCAGATGAATTAATTTGTATATGTGTCTTGGTCCCCAAAACCTACTTTATTTCTCTATTGATAATTTATCCCCTGCTTATGTCTAAAAACATAGTTGAGACATTTTAAAGTAAAATGAACAATTCAAAATTAAAGATCTACTGAGGAAAAGGGAGATTACACTTAAATATAAAATTCCAACTCTGGGCCAGGTAAGGTGACTCACGCCTGTAATCCCAGCACTTTGAAAGGTTCAGGCAGGAGGACTGCTTGAGGCCAGGAGTTTGAGACTAGCCTGGTCAACATAGTGAGACTCCATCTCAACAAAATATAAAAATAAATAAATAAAAATTACAACTGTGAGCTTCCTGGAAGTAATATTCTTTCTGTTTTAAGGGGACAGGAGAAAATTTTTTCCTATTACTAAAATCTAAGAAAAGTTTATCACATGACCTTTTAAGAAAAACAATGCCTTCATTAGTGATTTTATAAAAGATAAAAGTAGCTATTTATCTCATAAATGTTTATTGTGTGCCATATATGAAGTTAAATGTTTTACATGTGTTATTGCATTTAACCCCCTGATAAAGCTGCTCCCATTCTAGAGACAAGGGGAACAAGACTTGGAAATTGTAAGGAACTTGTCTATGATCAATACTGCTGGTTGTCTTCCTAATAACCATATCTGGTTATTGGGATGCTACTCTCTTCCTCTTCAAAAGAATTGGGATTTTGTTTACTCTCTTCCCCTCTGCAGCCCCAGAAGCTAAATTTTCATTAGTTTAAATCAATCTTGGTCATTGCAGTCCCCCCAGCATTTGTTCTAGGCCTGAGGCTGGGGGGCAAACTGACCCCATGCATTGTAAAGGGAGTCTTCTGGGTGGTTTTTTTGCCCTTAAAAAGGGCACTTGTTTTTGAGGTGATGAAATAATCTCCCAAAATTAGATTATGGTGATGGTTGCACAACTCTGTGAAGATACTAAAGACCATTGAATTGTACACTTTAAAAGGGTGACTTTTATAGTATGTGACATATATCAATAAAGCTGTTATTTAAAAAAAAAAAAAAAAGCTAATGGAATGTGTGATTGGCAAGCCCTTGAACTAGGATTCTCAAACCTGGTTGGACATCAGAATTCCCAGTAGAGCTCATGAGACATGTAGGTGGTCAAGTTTTACCCGAAGCAATTCTGATTCAGTTGGCCAGGGGAGGGCTTGGCATCTATGCTTAACAGGCTCCATAAGCTATTCTGATGCCCAGCCAACTGTGAGAACCACTGGCTTGCCTCCATAAATATCCATTGTCACAGCTGCTTTTGGCAGAAGCTATGTTACAATTAATTTAACAGTGTGTGCTGGCTCAGGAACCCAGAATACAATCTGCATTATTGATTGAAGTACTAGAGCAGTTTGGTTGTGCAGGAAAGCACAATTCACATCCTATTATAAAAATGCAAGTCTAAAGTAAAGCCATTCCACCTTCCAATGAGGTGGGTTGTGATGATTGGTGGGCAAGGCCAAATACTTTTCAAATGTAAGCTTTGGGACTGCTTGAATGCTTGGACTAGTTGAGACCCTGTGCTTTCATGCTAAAGAGAAAGGATGCAGTTATTTTAACCTGGAGCCTCATTTTGACTGTCAGTGACCAAAATCAACATTTTCCAAACTATTGGCTGCAATTCATTAATAAGTCATGACATTTTCTGTCACAGGTAGTACTAGTCTCTGAAATTTTTGTTTCAGTAATTCACACACAAATTATAACACCAATTTTAAGATACACATTTTTCCATATTTTAATATCTCTAAATTGGTATCTTACACTCAATGGCATGTAATAATTATAATCAGCAGCATTTAATAACTTCCAATTGAAAACGTCTTATATGCAATGAAATAACAGTGTGTGTTTGTATTGTGTTGCAATATAAAATATATTTCTGGCCTGGCACAGTGGCTCATGCCTGTAATCCCAGCACTTTGGGAGGCTGAGGCAGGAGGATCGCTTGAGCAGGAGTTTGAGGCCAGCCCGGGCAACATGGCAAGACCCCATCTCTACAAAAATAGAAAAATTAGCTACGAATGGTGGCACATGCCTGTAGTCCCAGCTACCTGGGAGGCTGAGGCAGGAGGATCCCTTGAACCCAGGAGTTTGAGGTTGCTGTGAGCTAGGCTGACGACACAGCACTCTAGCCCAGGCAAGAGAGTGGGTATATATCCAAAGAATTGAAATTAGTATCTCAAAAAGATGTCTGCACTCCATGTTTATTGCAGCACTATTCACAGTAGCCAAGCTATGGAATCAACCTATGTATCCATCAACATATGAGTGGATTAAAAGAAAAATGTGAGACATACATACAATGTAATATTATTCAGCGTTAAAAAAGAAGAAAATGGCCAGGTGCGGTGGCTCACACCTGTAATCCTAGCACTCTGGGAGGCCGAGGCAGGAGGATCGTTTGAGCTCAGGACTTCGAGACCAGCATGAGTAAGAGCGAG